AAATTTACTAAGGATACATCTCTTCAAACGAAGTAATTATCTTCAACCGTCTTTCCTTCCTCAAGCAGTTATTGATGTAAATGGAATTTCATTAGTTCCGTTTCGTATACTTAAATCGAAATTTATATTCATTTAGCATCTCGATTCATATAATAATTGCCATCTTCTGTGCCTTAAATGAATAATGGAGTTGAGTCAGGCTCACAAGTGGCATTTAATCTTTAATCTTGTTCAACGACTCCGAAAGTTGGTTCAAGAATATCAAATTAACCAAACTAAGATGAGGTAGGAATATTAAATTTGCTGTTCAGTTGACAGATTCGTACCGCTATCAAAATTTTACCCCGATACTTGGGAAACAATCGAGGGTTCATTGGAAGTGCGGCCGATGAAATTTTGAAATCAAATGAGATGGAAAATGATGTGTCCCTCCTGATTATATTTAGCTCTTGGATAACTTCGTTGCATGCAGATGCCGTCTACATCTTGGTAATTACTGGCTTTAATTTCGTAACTGACTTTACAAGACAAAATATGTTGCATAGGGGTGTGTGTATCTTTGCGAGAGAAAAGCTAAGATTTGAGCTATCAAATATGTTACAGGACTATCTCGAGTGGCATTATGAGATTGCTGGGTTATTTATCACAGTTGAAAATATTTTTCTTCTATGTTTGTATCGATCTATGGAATTATGAATATTGCACTACATAAATCTACTGAGAGTCTTAATGAGATGCATCTCAGCAGAAATATTATTGTAGCTGATGATTTTGATTTAATAATACAAACGACGCTGATGCAGCAGCGTGTAGAAATGCTCTTCTAGTTTTCAACTAAATGTCATGCTTTCATAGTCTCCCAGACCATAAAGACATTACATGTTCTTTTTCATGCGAATGTATTGAAAATTCTAACGATTTTTTCTTCTGTCGCATAATATTCAAAAAGTTTTTGTAGGAAATATTATTTAATTTGCTCATATCAATCACTAGTTGATTTACAACGTCTTGAAAGTAAATAGAGAAATCCTCATATGACATGGTATCGTTTTGTTCATTTTTATTATTAGTTCTATTGGAACTTTTATGGTCCTGAGCAGCTTCTCGTTTATGATTTACAATGGGATTGAGTTCGTAATGATAATGATGCAGACCCAGAATAATCATATTTCATTTCTGTGCCATCTTGTCGACTCGATATTTCGTGAAGCGAATTTCATTTGAGCATAGGTACTATGAACAATAGTTCTCATTTAATCATACTTTCATAAAACGGTACGTTTTTTATCGAAGCCACTCATATGCTGTTCTCTCAACTTCACTGGAATGATAACTTGCCACCACAGTATCAGTCAGGTGGATTAAAGTCCGAAATTTGCTCAAAATATTTTTCAAACACGTCGCTGTTCATGTCTTCATGGTAATAGTCAAAATGATTCAACTAGAATATCAATAAAATGCCCTCAACAAAACCATCAACACTTCTAATAAATATTACTGGAGTTTTTTCCCAACACCAAACCGTTATTTCAACACCTCGACACTTGTTTCGATCATCAACTGATTACCTTCAAGATGGTCACAAGGTGATTGAAACACGTCTCGAGGTGTTAAAACAACGGTTTGGTGTTGGGAAAAGGCATCCATTAATATTCATTACTACACCAAAGGTTCCAAACAGTGCATCACAAAAACACTTTTAATGTTGGAATGTGGGCTTTCATGGTCATATTGCTTTTCAAAATATGAATTGTTTCTGAAATGGAAGATTTATTCCAATAAAATGATATTTATCAAAGTTGTTGCAGATGCCAAAACGCCTGTAACCTGTTACAGAAAGTTCATTTTATAACTATTGAGTGAAAAGTTGATTCGTTTTTTAACTAATTTCGAAACTGGAATAATATATTTTCCAAGTAGAAACATGTAAAGCATTTTTATGGACCCTTATATGAGAGACGACAAATCTATAAACGGTATGATGAACATATCAAATGGAAATAGATGCGATAATTTCATCATTGGAAAAATAATGAAAGAACAATTTTCTATCAGAATTTGAAAAAACGTAACCTACACGTTAGGAAATTTCATTTTGTGTGACTCACATACTTTGTGGGAAGTCTTTTCCTAACTAATTATTTCTATAACAAGATTTGTCATTTCAGTTGATATGTCAGAAAGAGAGTCAGTCATTTTTGATTAAGAGCGATTTTCTGTTTCTTTTTTTCCGACTTATATTTGATTCCTTTCAAGTTTTTCACAATCTCTTTCCGCTTTTCATTGGATAGACAGGGGCTTCATGATCAATTCATATTCTTCAGGTAATAACGTACCTAATTAAAGCACTATCAGATCGGATTGAATCGTGACGTCATCAACTTTCCAAGCGAATATTGAAAATAATCAGGTATACCTCATTTGAACAGGTAAGCTGTACCGGTGTGTGATACATTAACAAATGCTCTCCTTGAAAAGTATTGAAAATTCCAATTGCAATACGAAAGTAAAAACAATTATGGTTGCTTAATTAAAAATGAGCTATTACTTATTAATGCAAGTATTTCATATTTTTATTACTCACCGTATACATACAACTATAAAAAGTCTTCTGAAATTTATTATTTCAAATCATACAACATTGAATGTTCAAAATCAATACTTTTCAACCGACTACAGAATTCTCGAAAGTACATTTACCGATATAAGCCCGTCTTTCCGACTCAAGAGGGCAGTTCAGAAAGTGAATCAAGAGGCTAAACAAGAAATTCAAATATTGGAAATGAATTAAGCCATACTTGCTAAGTGTTGTAATAAATAAATTAGTTTCTGATTATTGAATTATTATTGGAAATAAATTTGTTTAAGACAGTTAATTCATTAACTAGTCACAATACATTTAAATAGCCATTGAAATAATTAGTCAGGAAAAGACTTCTTGCAAACTAGATGATTTACTCAAAATGAAATTTCCTATCGTGTTGGTTACGTTTTTTTTCAAACGAGGGAATTATCGATTCTATTTCTATGATGTTCATCATACCGCTTATCGGTTTGGGGTCTCTCATAAAAAAGACAACAATACACTTGAGCATCCGCAACAACTTCGAAAAATATTTCGATTCAGAATCAATTCATATTTAGAAAAGCAATATGGTGTTCTGTCCATTCTGATTACTCCAGATCTAACAACCTTAATAAATATAAAAATACTAGACAGATATATTACCACCAAGAATCCTTTCAGGGCGAGCTTGTTTATTTTCACGGATTTCTCACTCTCCCCATCTCTAGTTCCAATTTATAACACTCGGAATGGAGGAACACCTCGAATTAAACACTGGCAATGTGTCAATATATTAAGTTTCCATCAACGTGAACGATATATAGTTTATCGTGCAATTTGGAGAAAAGAGTGGATAATAAAACAAGAACTACTCGATGGTTATTTTCTTGCAACGCTAGATGAATAATACATCGTTGTAATTCATTGGGCCGTTCCGAGCACAAGCATTAAAAATGAACGAATAACACGTGCATTAGCAATGTATTGATAGATCGTTCCGGTGATAAACGTAAGTGCGGAAAATTATATCTTTTAGATGGAAATTCTGAGTTTCTGGAACGACAGTGAAGGATAAAAGTGGATTGAAATAAATGTATCATAAAATGTGACTAACAAGGAAAATTATTGAATTTTTTTTTGGAAACGTCTTTGCAGGTTGTCATTGTACATTTATCCGTACCTAATTTGTACCTCAGCTTCAAACTTCATGAGCGTAATGTTTGTTATCGTCAGCTGACGGTTTCATCATCATTCGAGTTCTGAATGTTCAAATCATGTCAAGTGTTATTTATCGAGATTGAGAAACATGGAGAGTCAAGAGCTATTGCGCTTGACATTTCTAAAGCCTTTGACCGTATGTGGCATGAGGATTTGCTGACCAAACTTCGATGCTATGGCGTGTCTGATCATTTTTGTGTATGACTCTCCAGCTTTCTGGAAGAACGTTTCATATTGTTTCCAACCCTCTTTTTATTGTATATCAACGACTAATTGGAATAAAACAAGAATCCAGTATATTGCTTTGCTGACGACAGCACACTTCTCTTATAACTGCACAGCAATTCCAGGACATTGGCTGTGAATGCACATCTTCACCGGCAGCAGGAGGTTGCATATCTGAATGAGATTCTACAGGTTATCACGAATTGGGGTGAAAGTAACCAGGTTTAATTCAATGCCACGAAAAGATCAATGTCTCCGAACTGGATACAATAAAGTCAAGACAGACAATTCCGCTTTCTGTTTCGATAAGTTTGTTGAGGGGTAACATGGACACCAATATGTCTTGGTACAATCATGTCACTGGAACTGCAAAGACTGCTTCTCAAAAGCTTGGAACACTGTTCCGAACCAGAAAACTGTACACACCTCAGCAAACCCCATTTAGGTGGTATGTGTATTTTGAGCATTTCTATCAGTCCTTAGAGTTTCATCATTCTACCTTGATTATTACGGAAGATACGGGGGTGTTTCCATGAGAAGTGAGACACACTGTAGACTGAGTGGTTTTTATCACATTTTTGTTCGATATTGTTCAAAGAAATACTGACCCATTTAAAAATTTGTTGTTGTGAACATATTTTTGTTTGATTGAATTTTATTAAATGACATTATTATTATTATTCAGAAGTTAATGACACAAATTGTAAACATATATGCTTTGCTACCTGTGCGAAGCCGGGCGTATCGCTAGTTGAATATAAAATGATCATTTATCAACCTTATTATTTCATCATTGCATAATTTCGTATGAAACCACTGAGAGTAGGGCATGGGACGAGAAAAATAATTCCATTCATACTTATTGCACCCAAAGCAAAATAGAAATTCTACTATACAATAATCAATTAAAACATTTTTTGATTTTATTCTACATAGTCGAATGACAGTTTCTTAGTTTCAAAATGTCAATAAGGTTTTATTTTTGTTACAGATGGATAATGCACCACAGTGGCAGATCATCAGTGATAGTGCTAAAGACTTGGTACAACAAATGTTGAGTGTCGATCCGAAACAAAGGATCACAATACAAGAAGTTTTGAATCATAGGTGGTTACGGGTGAGTTAAATTTGAAATCATTTCATAACATGTGAAGTTTTCCAGTAAAGCTTCATTGGACATCAAAATAGCCAACTCAAGTAACAAGTGAATATTCAAAATATATTCTTTGAAGAATAAATTATTCCTCAATTGATATATTTTCAATAATCACATTGATAGATGTAGCTTGATTATTCTGAAAATATCTAAAATGTGTATTTTCGAAATGTTATATCTTTTAAATATATTCAAAGAATATAATTGTAACTAATGAAAAATGAGAATATTTCACATATTCTTTGAAAGGTTAAGAATGGGTTATTATTGGTTACCCAACTGTTGTCTTCGAATGGCATTGTCTGAAGTCTTCAAGACACTTGTGTTGGCAAATGATCAAACCTTATAATTTGGAACTCAATAAAAACTCGAAAGACGGTTCTGTTCTGATACTGTTTATATTTGTAATGTCAAACAAATGATGAAGTTGGATACAGAATTAAAATACCTTCCAAATGAGATGTTACTCAACTATTATTTCCATTTGAAATTATTGAAATTAGGGTTGATATGTGGAGAAGTGGCTGATAAGGGGACCATTCTTAACCTAGAAATGTGTTCTCTGAAAATCAACATTGACCTGTTTTACGATTTATTTTTTCGAGTCTCAATATTAAATGGTTTACTCAGGGTGGCTCTATTTAAGTGGAAACTACTATATATTCGGAATAGAATATATCTGAAATATGTTCAAAATAAGCACTTTCAGTCTTTCCATATGGTATATGATTCATAATAATTAATTCAGAATATTTTCCAAAAATATTTCGAAATATGTAAAAACCTCATTCAAAATAGCATACTGTTACAGAGCCCTAAAAATGTAAAGGTATCCCAAGAGCATGGCAGATGAATGAATTTGACGAAAATTATTAGAATTTCAGAATAAAAATATTGATACTTCAACTCGAATTGAACATTTCAATATATATAGTATAAGCAATTTAAGCATTTCCCAGCTTTCCTTAGTCATTTCCAAATTACTAACACAGATTTCTTCCAGTTCTTGCACATCGGGAAAAATATTTTTTCAGATACCTAAAGAAAGGTAATTAGATTTAATTTTTTACACTCCACGAATATTCACTATCCTTGTGCAATAATAACGGAAATATTCCATTACTTTTATATGTGCTTCTTGATGTAATATCGATATCAGTGGCGTATAAAGATATATTAATACATTTATTTGAAATCACACTCACATACACTAGATCAGGGATCGGCAAGTAGTTTTAGGTGGGGTCCGGTAACTGTGGGAAAATTTCTACGAGGTCCAGAAAAAAAACGGATAAAAATTAAGTGTCACCTATGTATTATTTTGGTTTCAAATCAAATTCTGAATTATAAAACACAAGACCTAAAATTAATATGAGAAATTACACCGACGGTCTTGAGCCCGTTTTTTATAGTTTGGTTCTCGAGAGGAACAGCAAATTAGAAGTGTTTCTTCTAAGTGGGAGTTCGTTAATCTCGTACGATATTTGTTTTTCAAAAAAATCATCTTTGCGAAATATGTTTCACATACGTTTGTCGAGCCAAACATAGTGGCCAAATTCATAGCTAGTTTCTTGCAATTTTCATAGTTTTCTGGAACATGTGTGGTCCAAAATTCTTCAGTGGATACCGTTTTATATTTTTGCAAATACACATCTTCTTGCAAATCAATTACCTATATTTCAAGTGATGTCTTTGGCAGCCACATCTGCCCATTCTGCTGCTACATCAACTTCAAATGACGATTTAAGAAACGGAGAGCTATTTTTATATTAAAGAGTTGTCGGAATATGAATAAATTCTTGTCTTGCAATATCTTTTTTGAATATATCCAGCTTGCGACGAAAACCAGATCATATATTAATTTCCTTGTGATTCTGTGTTGAGCGCATTTGAATATCTCAAAATATCAAAAGCCACGACCAGTATATTAGGTTTGTTTGTGTTTTGTGGCCCCCTCCGAGTATAAGTTTTGCAAGAAGGAGGTTACTTTTTCTTTTATCAGCCAGAAACTTTCAATAACTTGACCTTAGCCAACGTGTTGCATACAGTAAATCAGAATATGCTGTCATAGGCCAGGCGTACTATATTTTTTTGAGGAAAAAATACCTTACAGGGCAAACTCAACGGAAATGGATTGGAAAGGTAGTCAGTAATATTGGGGCAAAAATTCAACAGCTGAATGTTTGCAGGGGCGGAGGGGTGGGGGTGAAAAACGGTTTTTCGTGGTTTGCGGCCAAAATAATTGTTTTAGAGAGAAAAGTTAAATGAAAAAGTTGTAGTTAATAAAAAAATCTATAACTTTTGTATTCATACTTTTTTCACAAAACGTCAAAGTTTTCGAGTAAAACGCGAAAAACCACTTTTTTCGTTTTTTTTTTTTTTATTTCACGAAAAAAAAGCGTATCACAATGAAAATTTGAGCAATTGTACTATTTTTCATCACAAACAAGTAGCAATTTTTTTTTGCGATAAGTCAATTAGTTTCTGAGAAATTCGCATTTTTCGAAAAAAAAAAGCATTTTTTTCAAGTTAGTCAAAAAGGTTTTTTTTGGCCTAGACAACTTTTACACCGCTCATTTTTTTCGTAATTACATCAGCTTTCAGATGAAAAAAAATAAATATACTACTCTAAGCAAAAAAAAATCGTTTAAAATGCAAAAAACTGAAGAATTGTGCTTTCTTTCGTGATTTGTTTCATATTATGTAATTAAACG